TCTCCGAAGCCTCTCGATTCCCGGCTGAAATTTTCAAGCTCGCGTTGGCTCTCTTCTGATCCTTGCTCTGACCGCGATCCTCGAGCGTCGATCGTCGAGGTTCGATCAGGACCGTGTTCGTAGTCTGAAAATTAATGTACAATCGTTCTTCTCCTTCGTCGAGTTGTCGAAAATTCAAAAGACATTGAACAGGTACTTCCGTCGGCCGTTTCTGTCAACGGAAGATCCTCGGTTTTTTCTTTCCGAGACTACGAATCCGATCCTGCGAGTGAAAATCATGGCAGTGGCTGAACCGTTCAGCCCGTTCTGGATATACGTGTAGGTATAAACGTGCGTTATCGGCTCGTTTCGTGAAAGCCCTCGGAAAAAACACGGAAGATACGTACACGCGTTTGCGCGAGGGTGCAAATAAAAAAACGGAGGGAGGCTTATCGCGAGGGTGACGCCGATGGATGGGAGCGTTGCAGACATATCCAAGTAGCCGGGAGAGAAGCCATTCCCGTCGTGTTCTTATTTCCGACGGACAATAAAATTCCTATCGACCGTACCGAACACGTGTTGGCACTCGCGGAAGCAATCTGCGAATACGCAGATAACGAATTCGCGTTGTCGTTTTATGCGAGAAGAGCTACGGCGTATTCGTTTACGGTATTTTATCGCGTCGGATCACGTCGTCGATTCGAATTAATTTTCGATTTCGCGGGGAACAATTTATACGCGAACTGAGCCGTTCGGACCACTTACAAATACACCGCGCGCACAGACAGTTTAATAGTATCGGCGTAAATATCAAACGAGCATTAATTGCGTTAATACAAACATTTATGATCATCGGCAGCAGCTGGGCGCCGCAACCATGGAAATTCGAGCACGGCATTAGTAATATTTTCGTGGCTAACCAAATAGCAAAAGTGGTTCGAATTCGATTTAAAAGGAGAGACGAGAGGAACGGCCGAATATATCGTATGATATAACATACGTACATACATACATATGTGATACGGATGCCGCTCCGGTAGGTACACCCATGCGATAAGCCCGCGAGGATTTCGAGAGAGGGTTTGGTTCATTGTGTTCCGCGGTATACGGTATAAATGTTCGATAAAATAACACGCAAACGAGGAGGCAGAGGAGAAATTGCGTCAATGAAAATGAAGGGTGGTGAATGAATTACCGCGCAAAAAAAGTATTCCGACCGGTCGGCGGTGGATGAACGAACGAAAACAAAACCGTGGTGAGGACGATAGGGGTGTGGGGGAGAACGGGGAAACATAGAAGAGGGAAAGAAACGGGCGTCCAACGACGACAAACGAAATGGCTCGTCGCGAGAAACAAAAGCGACATACGATCCAGAATAGGCATCACTGCAGTCGTATTGTGGACTTTTGGATGCCACGATGGAAATCATAATATGTAGTCGGCTGAGTACCCGCTGCTACACGTGCAGTCCGCTTGGCGTGATTCCGCAAAGCTCTGAACACCTCGGTGTTATCGAGGCCGATTTTCATTATACGTACGTACGGTTCGTCGGGAAATGCGATGACGCCGGCGAGCGTGCTCTCTCACGACCGTTTTCTCTTTATCGACTACTTTCATTATTATTGGTTTTTTTTTCATTTTTTTTTTTTTTTTTTTTTTTTTTTCTTTTTTGTTTGCGTTATCGTTCAGTTAACTCTGTTCTCTCTGTTTTTCTTTTCCGCTTGTCGTGTCGACGGAGGCTGCACGCTAACGCGACGGGACAATGGCGCGTGATTCGAGCGACTCGCGCGCTTGGTCTGATCCATGATCTACTTTTACTACTTAAAATGTATTACATATGTATACGTACGCTGATAGAAGCTTGCTAATTATTCTATCGCACACGGGAGAATTTCGTCATCTACCGAACTATTTGAGGCGAGTCGAATAGCTCGGCGGATCCGGTTTTCCTACTCGGCTCACACGCGGAATTGCTCGCCTTTGTGGACCAGGCCGAGCGCGAAAGTATCGCTCGATCGTTCCTTCGTGCTCGAAAAATTCGCAACAGTGCACGCGCGTAGAGACGGACGCGGAACAAGTGCGTCGGGAAATCGTTTGACGATCATCGAAACGGATCGGTCTCCAACCTCGTCCAAAATACCTCTGCTGCTGCGGTTTAGTCTGCCGTTTTGCGATCGCTACAGGTTGCTCGCGTGGTGTCATGTATGGCGCAAGATCAAAAGAGATCTTTTCTCGTTTTGTTTGCTTCTCTTACACGCGTCCCTTCGCTTCGTTCGTCCTTTCCGATTACAGACAAGTGAGCTCTGTTCTCGAAAAACTGGATCGAGTCGACGGGGGGAAGGGGGAGAGAGAATTTCATCAACGATCCCTCCCATCCCCGCGTCTCTCGTGACTTACAATTTAATCGAGCATACGTCCGTAGAAATGAGCTATCGTTCGTCCAATAATGCATACTTACATTTCGCCCGAGATCGGTGGTTTATCGAACGAACGATGTACGTTTATCATCTAGATGGTAGATAAATCTCGATATATTCGTGAGAATATAAATGTATATGCATAATTAGGTATAAATAACTCGAATATTTTGTCATCTATAGATTACTCGTGAGAGGTTTCGTAAATGCTTGCGGTGCTTCGGTCGCCTAATGCTCGTAAGAGGGGGTGGAGTGGACTTAATTGCTATCTCTGGCTAAACCTAAGTGATGTATATATCTCGTCGAGGTCTCATCCGCACCGTCCCTTCTTTCTTTTTTATCGGATGTAATCTAGACGTTCGTGTCTCGAATTCTACACGCTGTACGCGTACCCGAACAATTTCTCTCGCGATCATTATTCATGGGCAGCGCGAATGCGACCTCCTTGGTCTACGTCCTCGATCTGGTATTAATCTTCGGGAGATCCCCGTTAATGGGATCGAAAAAAATTACGTGAGTCGAAACCTGTATGAGCAAAATCGAACGTCCGGAGATTGACACTCACTTTTTCAAAGGCACTGTTCCCTGGGGCGCCTGCCCTGCGCCGTTCCTGGCGTCGGTGACCCGGCAGGTCACCATACTATACGCTGAAAGCAGTTCTACAACGTTAGAAAATTATGTTAATTTGATAGGGGTCCAGGTTCACAGGCGCTCGCCCAGCTCCTGCGTTACCTGGTCGACGTCGCTTCCTTCTAGAACTTCTTACCGATCGAAACCTTTCAAAAAAGTTCACGGAAGTAAACGTGTCGACCGGGAGCCCAGGTGCAGGCCAGACTCGACGAGTATCAACGATGAAAAAGGGACGCGTTGCGCGTCTCGGTGTCCCCGTGCTGTCCTACCTTTCTCCTGTTTTCGTCTCTTCCGTTTATTGCATATCTTCACCGCGCATATACTCAGGATAATCGCGACGATGAAGAAGAGTATACCACCGACAACGCCTGCGGTGATGGCCTTGTGCTTCACCCGGGCCGGTACGGGAAATTTCACCTGCTCGCTGGCGCCGTAGTTCGTCGCCGAGTTCGCGAACACTTGGAAATAGTAGGTCCTACCACCGACCAAATTCTTCACTGTATTCGCCAGTGAAACATGAAACAAAGAATCGAGAAATCCGGTTGAACTCGAAACGTACCAGTGGTTACCCGATCTAATCCGATCTATCGTTATGGAAGTTTTAATGGCGAAACGCCACCGGAATTACCTACCCAAATAACTGGTTTCCTCGGGTCGGATTTGTCCCTTGTTGAGCGTTTTCCAGGGTCCATCCGTCTTGTACTTAATGGTATAGTACTGAATCAGGTGGTTGCGTTCCACGGGTGCTTGCCAGGTTATCAGGAAACCGTTACTGATCTCTGTCACCGTGAGATTCTTCGGTGGACCTGGCTTTGGTCCTGACGATTTAAATCGAATTAGCGTCGCCGTCGTGAGTAGCGTTCATAGAGGTAAGCAGTCTAGACGATAGATAATCACGGGACGAAAATGCTTTCGTTTCTCGGTATAGCGTTTGTTTGCGTTTCGACCGTGGTCGACGTTCAGGATTTCGAGAATTTCCGTGCGCGGCACGTCACGGCTCGCGAGCTGATTCTACGGTTACGGGAGAAACGCCGTCGCTTGGCGAATTGGGATTACGGTCGTTAATAACGCTAACGAATGTATGCCGGAAGCAATTAGGTCGTAACGTTATACATGTATGCAAGTTGCGACGACAGAAGATGACCTCACGCGTCTCCGATTCCATCAAGGAGTTGCATCAACATGGTACCACGGCCGGCTGTCGTTGCCAGCAGCGCGTCGGGATAACATTACCACTGGTCGAGATTTATTTGTCATCGGTTCGTTTAATAAACGGTAATTGCTCGTTGGAAAAGAAAAAGAACGATTCCGAACCGTGGAGAGAGGATTGAAATGCAATAATTTGCAAACGAGAAACCGTTGTTCTTGTTACGATGTGAATTCTCCTCGGTTATATTCGCGATTATTTGCGAACGTTAAACAACAGCACGATACAATACGATCAATTTTCACGATTTAAAAACATACAGCTCGCCGAAACAGCCTATATTTCCTATTTTCGCGATCGTTTCTGCGGTATTTACAATGTACCGTATTTGTTAACTTCATTTCCACTGGGCGGTGCGGGTTGCGCCGAATAAATTGTCGGCCGCACACAGACGAGCGTGCGCGTGCATTAGGAAATTCGAAAACGGGCAAATGCAACGAGAGAGTCGTGTCCGCGCACGCGCGCGCGCGCGCACGTCGTCTGTCTCTTTCAACGTGCCCGGGCATAAAAATATAAATGGTTTCTCGATGGAGGCGTCGATGCACCTGGGAGTAGCGCGTATAACCGAAACGCCGAGGTTATTGTATTCGCGAAAAGCTTTTTACCAACGTAACTGGTAGGAGTGGCTGCAATTAATTCGCGCAGCTCGGTTGAATGGAAATTTTTCCCCGCCACCGAATACTTCCGTTTTTTGTTCGACCGCCCACCCTCCATTGCGACGAATCTCCGCGCGAATACGACACTCCTGTCCCGATAATTTCAGACGAGTTCCCGGTCCGGCCAAAATACACATAAATTATCCACCCTCGGGGCATATTTAATCTCGGGATAAAATCGTCAATCCGTTCACCCCCGGCTTTTATTCCTCGTTCCATTTTCACGAATTCTGTCCCTGTAATTTGGAAACGATTAAGTGCTCCGATTAGACGGTGCTTATCGAATCATCCGAGATTCTCTCGTTCGCGCGAATTGAAAACAAGGCGGTTTCACGCACGAGCCAGCCAACTACCGAGAAGAAAATCGAATCGTACTAATCGGTGAGAGTTTTGGCATCGATGTAAGATTTAGGGGCTGGACGATGTTCAACGATAAATATCAAACAGCAATTGCGCGTGGCACGAGTCTTCGATTAACGTTTTCATTCCTCACCGGAAACAAGAGGTGCGTGCTCGTAACTTTGATGAAATCGGGTGCGGTCGATGAAATAGTCCGTTTGAACGAGCGTACTGGGACCTCGTAAAACACTGTCGCGGCGAATTTTTCTGTCAAGCGGAAGGTAGAAAAACAATTCACGGCACCGAAACAGAAGAAACGAGCTCTGGATTCCGCGAGTGACAACTGAATCGTCCGAAACATAATATTCACTGTTACGGGGTGCTTCGTGTGCGTGTATTTTCTGACTTTTGAACTGTTCCTCTTCTCGACTCGTGATCGATACCTACGCGTTTCGGAGCTATTGACCCGAATATAATAATGGTTAATCCTTCGGTTTGAAGAACTGTAACGGGGGAGCAAGGCGGTGGTCGGAGGGTTTCCCTTGTTTCTGCTTGAATGTACAATATTACGTGGTTTCGGCAAGGTGGTGGATCGACGGAACGAATCGGAGGGTGCGCTGTGGTGGGTGTCCGGAGGGTGGAGAAAAGGGAAATAAATCGTCGGGTTCGCTGGAGGGGCTAAATGAAATCTTATATTAAACGTAATACGAGAGATCTGAAAGTAACGACTGCAATAAAAAAGGAATTAACATAGTACAAGTAGGCGAAGAAGAAAGCGTAAGAGCAGAAAAGAGGAAGGGTAAATAAAAAGAAAAGTCGATACCTTTCGGGCGCATGATTGGCGGGAAGACTGGGTTGCCCGTGGAATCGGTCGGTAATATGAGAGTATTATAATCTAAGATGTCTGAAACGAGAGAAAACAAAACGGCAAACGTGAGAAATGAAGGGGATGGAGCGGGTGACGTTATCACGGCGGCGGTAGCAGTGGTGACGGTGACGGTGACGGTGACGGTGACGGTGACGGTGACGGTGACGGTGACGGTGGTCGTGCCGTAATAACGGGTTGGACCGGAGGAGAGATCCTCGCGAATCCGATCCACCGGAATTCTCGTTAAGCTGGCTGTAATCGCGTTACTCGAGGCAGGCTAACGAGTTTCGAGACCGCTGATGCGTGGACAGCGACGGATGGGGACGGAAAAAGGCAGAAATTGAAGGGCGAGGAAGAAAGGCCGTCGGAACATGTGTACGTTGCTCGGTTGGGGGCGAAATTTCCCGTTGCGCGAAAGGGCACGCGCGTTCGCGGATTATTAGTGGGAATTTCTGGCCCCGACGCGTTATTAATATGGAAATGTTGGAAAAACGGAGCCGCGCGGCCGGGGCCACGTTTCCCGTTCTCACGGGATTACGAACCGCGCACAGATGTACCAAATAGAGATTCACGAGATAGAGATTTACGAGGGTTGGAGGCTGGGTGGAACGAGAAACGAAGGGGACGAGACCGAGAGATCGGTGGGCTTCTTCTTCGTTCGGAACGGGGGAACCGGATAAAAATCTGTACTGGTTTCGTCGAGGAAAAATCGAGGCACCGTGTGTACAAATGGAAGGCAATGAACCGGCGGATTCGAGGGAAGGAAATAAAAGCGGAAACAGAATGAACGGCTCGATGGGTTTTCCGATACGATAAGTCGCGACGGAAGTCTTCGTTCCCTTTCTCTTTCTCGTTGCCTCTTTCTCCTCCACCTCCACCGTCGTCTACTCCTCCTCCTTTACCGCTCTACTGTAATGTTCCCATCGGTCTCTGCCGCATCTATGTTTCTCTCTGTTTCTCGATTCGACCGACATTTCAACGTAACTTTGAAATTCTCGTGCAGAATCGGTATTTTCAGGAGAGCTCCATAGAGGCTGGTCACCGGAAGAGGGTAGAGGCCAGGAGCAGGGGATGGAGGAGGGCTTGTTCCGCGCGAGGCATCTTTACGAAATCGTTCAATCGGGGTTCTTTGTTAGCGAAGCGAGCCCGTTTTTAGGGAGAATCTCGAGTCCGGACTGTTTTATGGTCGATCGCGTTCGAATACAAGATCGTCCCTTTGATTTCTCTGCCACGGCTTTGTATCGGGTCGAGTTGTTTCGACGCTTCAACTCGTCGAGATTGTCTCCGAACGAACTTGCTCGCGATTAATTAGCTGCGATTCTATCGACGATCTTACCGCTTTGATCCGTGGCTGCTGCTTGACCGGCGCTCGAGGATGGAGTCGCTGAATGCGTCAGTGCCACGTCTTCGAGGACGAAGCGACGGAAAAAAAGAAGGAAAGAGTTTGCACAGGAGGCAACTGTTAGTTGGTTAATACGGACGAGGTGTGTTAGTTGCGTTACTAGTAACAGACGTTTGGAAAACGAACGCCGCGAAACGGAGGATTCCGGAATTTCGATCGAAGGCTAATATAATATTTTATTCGGCAAGAATACGTATTTCCCGTACGGGCATTTCTAGACCTTGACCCCGTGCACTGTACAGCTATTCGGAGAATAGCATTCGTTCGGACCGTTACACGTTACACGATACAGAAGAAAGAGAGTAAAGAAACGGTTGTTACCAAGTGTCCTGACGGTAATCACTTTGCTCAGCATCCCATCGCCCAAGGCATTCTTCCCGATTACTTGGAACTCGTACAGCGTACCTGGCGTCAGTCTGTTGATCGTCACCGTTGTGCTACCCGAAGGAGTCACCGGAATCGTTTCCCATTCCGACGTACCCGATTCTCTGTACCTGCGTGAAACGAGACGAGTCTTCTTTCAGAACTGTCCGTGGGCTAAGAGTACCATACCGAGACATTTCCGATCCCTCGTTTCGCGTGTATTTCGTGTATATTCGCCCATCGAACGCAGCCAATGGTGTCCGCCTTACCAAATGGTATAGTCCTGCTTGTAGTCTGGCCCACCGGAGTAACCTGGCAGCCAAGTCAACGTGACAGAGAACTCGGTCGCGGTCCCAGAGACGTTGTAGGGGGCGTGTGGTTGCGTGCCCTCGACGATCAGTTGCGTCGAGGCCGATATGGTGGCCACCTCGTTGGACGCGACGCACTGGTAGAATCCAAAGTCCGAGCGTCGCAGGCTCTCGATCGTCAAGTTGCCACCGGCGGGCTTCATCCGATTTCGTTGAAGGAGCACGCCGTCTCTCTGCGCAATCAAAATCGCGAGGCAATCGTTAAACGAATATAACTTATCCGTAATGCATGCCGCGGAATGAAACTCGCTGAATAGAGGGACGCGCGTACCCTGTGCCATTGTATCGATGGTTTCTGGGTGCCCTCGGCCTCCTGTGCGTCGCAGTGCATCTCGACGGTCTCACCGACCTTCTTCTGATAAATTGGTTCCGGCTCGAGGGTGAACACAGGCGGATTTCGCACGAGGACCTCCATCGGCCCGGAGCTACCCTGCGTGCCCTGCGCGTTGTAAGGCGTGCAGGTGTATCTGCCTTGGTGATTCTCATTGACCCGTGTAAAGAGCAGGGAGCCGTTGTTCATGACGACGATATCCTTGGTCTGATAAGGCTCGAGCAGCCGTTTGTCCTTTGTCCAGGTCACGTACTGAAGGGGTGGATTCGCTTTTATGTAACACTGGACCACGCCGGCCAAACGGAACGGCAGGTACTGGACTGTGGGGGTGAACGTAACCTTCGCCGGATCTGACAAATAAGAACCGTTCGGGCACTTTTAATCCTGTTATCAGACTGGATCGCGCACGAATTGGCATCACCAGTTTGGACTTGAAAACTGTTATCGAAGAACCTAAATTTCAGACTATATCGGTTTCGGTTTCGGTTCTTATATCAGCCCCCATATCAGTTCTATAACCGTTATTTTTTTAGCTTCTGTATAAGTTCCAAAACGGTTACAGAACCGATTGTCGTAACGATTGTAGAGAATTTTATAATAAATAAAATTACAACACATTACAGTTATAGATTACTATGTATAAGCAAAATTTATTTCAAAATTATTACGAGTAGATATACGTAACCTTGTATGGAACCTAAGGTAGGAATTTATATAAAACCCAAAGAAGTAACGGTTATAGAATTGTTATGGGAGCTGATAAGTCTCAAAATGTAGGTTACTCGGAATAAAGGTTCTTGATAACTGTTTCAGTCGGAACTTTTATATAACAGTTTGAAGTAGTTATTTTCGGAACCGTTTCAAGCCCAGCCGGTTTCGCAGGTTTTCGATACTCACACTCCACGTTGAGATAAGCACTGGCGCTTTGCGGATCACCGATACCGTTGGTTACCTCGCAAAGGTACTGGCCCGAGTCGTCGGCGCTGACGGGATTGATAACGAGGCTGCCGTCCACCTTGATCGAGACCCTCGTGTCCAGCGCCGACACCTCCGTGACCGGTGCACCCTCCCGAAACCATCGCACGGTCACGTTGCCCGGGAGAGCCTTTGCCTCGCAGGAGAATTGCACCTTCTCGCCCTCCAGTTTCGTTTGATTCGTGGGAGGCACAGTGATCACTGCTCCGCCTGTAGATCAGAGCCGATAAACGTTAATTCGTCGAATCGTAGCAAGAACCGCGGATAATCGGAAAGCTGGGAAAACATCGTTATAGAGTACACGAGTCGTCGATAACTAACCGGAACCCAGCCACGCTACCGCCGACCTGTCGACGTCAGTTGTCTCGTCCCTCCGATGCCCCCGATGCCGGAAATACGTTGGCCAACTAATATCCTGACCGAAACGATGGACCCCGTGGATGCTTTTAACTTGTACCCTCGTCTGCGGAAGCGCGGCACGAAACGAGATTTCATCGTTCGACCGTTAGCGTTCCCGTGAAAACTAGACCGCGAAACGACGTCGATGGACATACAAACGAACAGGCCGGATAGAGATATTCTCTGTATCAACGAGACGACGTGGGTGGGGGGCAGGGGGTTCGATTGTTTTACCTCCCCCCACGTTCAATAAAGAGACCGATAAATATTCGGTCAAAGTTTTCGTTTCGACGTATTTTCGTATGCGGGCGAGAGAAGTCGAAATCGACTCGAAGGAGTTTCACGCGAAGAAAAGAACAAAGGACCAGTGACGGTGGGGAGAAGCGAGGAGAGTGTATCTGGAGCAGGAGGCCCCGACACTCGGGAAACCGCCTTTTACTCGAACGACTTTTCGCTTCGAGTCGTCGTAAAAAGGATCAACAGGGTGCATTATATTCTCGTCGATATCCAAGAGGTCTCCCCCATCCGTACTCGAAGAATTTTAAAACTTGCGGCTTTCGAGAGGGAAGCCGGAGGAGCAAGTTCCTCGTCGTCGCGGCGGCGGCGACGGCAACGACGACGGCGAATATCTTGACGTATAATGGGAGGGACTCGATCACGGCCGACAAAAGACCGAACTTCTTCCCGGCATTCAGCAGTATTTTCTGCAATCCGATTTATCGTCACTCGTCGGGAATTAAGGTGGCTCCTCCGCGTGGTCGTGGGAACCAGCCCACCTTCTCGATTTAGAAACGTACCTACGTACATATGTTATAGGTATAGGTATACTATTCGGTATAAGTATAAATATACTTCCGAATCACCCCGTGATATTCTCATCCTCGAGAGATCATTCGTTGGGCAAAACAGAATCGGCACTAACGCCAGGGGGATGTTTCGGACCGAAAATAAAATAACGCTGGAGAAAATAACGCTTCTAACGGAAACGAACTCCGTCGCAAGCTTTAACTTTCAACATAAATTTCGAGCGCCTTTGTTCGAGTTACTACGAAGAATGTTTACGAGCACGAAGGAAACGATTCCAGGGAACGACTTTCCGTATCAAGAAGAGCAACGACCGAAATTATTCGGCCCTTTGTCGCGTTGTCGCTTGTCGCTCGTCTTGCTTCGAAACAATGGGAGGTCGCGGTTGAATGCACGCGAACGCGCCGCGAGTCGAAAACCGCAAGCCGCGCCGCGAGCGTGCCGCGGATTCCGCGACGCTGAAAACGGCAAGTTAACTTTGCGGACAAAGCAAGGCTTCTCTCCCCCCCCCCTCCCCTCCCTCGACTCGCCCCGATAAACGGGCCAATGAAATTCACGAGAATTCAACCAGCGGATTGTGCCCCGTTCACGCGGTCCTCGAATGAATTTAGATGCAGCGACACGGTAAATATTCAGGAGTCCAATCTAAAAGTTTCCCGTTGCCTCACTTAATGTTCTTTCGTTCGCGAGACCGGCGAATTAGAGAACCGCGGAACGCGTGCAAATAATTCTCATTACGGGGAGATACGAGACGAGACGAAACACCGCCGTGCCGCTTCTCTTGTATCAAATTGTCCCTCTTTGCGGGAAAATGAAGTGTATTCAACGATCGCCTTTGGTAATTTTCGCGGGAAGCAGCCGTGTTTCATCGCGACACACGGTCGAGGAGACGAGAGCGATGGCGGCGGCGGCGGCGACGACGACTCGGACGGGGGATGAATTTCGGAGTGGAAGCTCGGTAAATATTCAAAGAGCGGATTCAAAAGTTTCACGCCGGCGAGAGGAGCAAGTTCGGTCGGGCTGGGTTGCACGAGGATCCTCCTCGCATTAGTGCCGTAGTCTGTCGACGGCGTTTTATACGCGAAGAGTACGAGGTGGCCCCGTCTACTTTGCACCCGCGTGACTGCGCGTTGAGACTCTGCCGTGGACGGCAACTGTTTATTAGTCCGAAACTTTCGCCAGACTTTCGGTCGCTGCTATAAATCTCGCTCGAAAGCCGACAGTCCGGGTCGTTGGATTTTTCTGTCCGCATTGGACGAATGGGGGGGGAGGTCCTCGGTTGAGATTCAAGATCGCGTTTACAACTAGACTCATTGGCCGATCGATTTAAAACAACACACTTCCGTATCTCAGCCGATTCATCGGTCGTCAAGCGATGAATAGTGGCGTGAACGCGAGAAAACCGACGCGTTGGTCGGCGTAGTAAATCGACGAGTCGTTAACCGTAGCAAAAGCCAGGGCGGATGGGGAAAGGAAGCACGCGATGATGAAGACGAATGTTCCCCCGGGCTAGTAACGAAGCCTACAAATCTGCGGCGTTCGTGGAAAATGAGCCCAGGCTGGAAGGGAGGAAAAACACCGATCGACCGTCCCCGCACACACCGAGCGCGGGGGTGCGCGCGGTGAACGAGACAAATCGCCTTTTAACTCGCCCCTTCGCGAGGAACATCCTAATTGGTTCGTGGTACGAGCGGCATCCGGAACGTCTAATGCTTCAACCGCTTTACCTAACGCGAGTTTTATCGCGAACGAGCACAGGCCTCGATACCAACGGACGCATCGACTCCTCGGCGAGCTGCTCGAGAGTATAATGGATGTTTGCCCGGATATTTCACGATAGAGGGAAAAGTTTCGTACATACCACCCGAGCGAACAATTGAAATAATCCGAACACTACGAAGGCACAACCGGTGCTGAGGCGTGGGCTGTTTTTGTACTCCTTGGGGGCGGGATACGAGTCTATACGTGTATCCGAGTACCGGCTCGCGGCTGGTAGGTGGCGCGAGAACTACCACTTTGCGGCAATAACTCGAATGCCCCTTAATTAAAATATGCACCGCGGAGGGAACGCCGCGGAAAGTTACATAGAAGTTGAAACGGCCCCCCGACTGGTCAATTTCACGAGCGCTCTAAAGACGTTTGGAGATTAAAAGTGACGTAAAAGTTATACCGTTACCGGGGACATTTCAGCGGTCCCATTGGGGGCGATTCGGTTAAACGAGACTTTAAGAAGTTCCATAAAATCGCCGGTAAGAGCGTGGCTGGCTCGGAACAGAGCGTACCGGAGAATCACCCGACCATCTTCAAGCTATCCTCGAACGATCCTCGAACGATCCTCGAGCAATCGACCCGATGACGACGCACGGGAGCGATCGTCCGATCGATCGACGATAATCGGTCGCGGAAATTTCTCCCGGACGTCGACACGAATCCGGCGGACGAGCAACAAAAACCTACGGGGTCGCGTCGAGGCATTTTCTGGCGTCGCGGTTATCGGAATTTCATTATCGGCGCTGGATCGATTACCGTCTACCGAAAATACCCCGATAACTTCTAATAACCCGGCCGGTAATTATCGTAACGATCTGGCGTGCATTAATTATCCGCGCGCGGATAAATTCTTCGCTCGAGCTTCGAAATAGAGGCCGCACGGTTCACCGGATTCTCCGTGAAACCGGAAGACGACTCGAATAAATCGGATTACGGTTTCGCGTTCTCCGTTTCAATTTCTATTCAAAGGGAGAACGATTTCGATTCGTCGCTGGAACTTTGCGAACGACGGCAGAAAAAAGGATTTGCCATAATTTTCAGTCGCCTGGGTCTTTAAAGAAACATTCTGTTTGTCGACTTATATTCGCGATTCTTATCCGGCCATTGATTTCCACGACGACTGGCAAGTTTCTAACGCGAAGACAGGGTTCCATAGAACCGTAACGTCGCGACGTCGAAAACTCGTGGATGAGTTCTCCGATTATCTTACTCACCTGCGATTATAACGCGGGCCGTGTGACTGATCTGACCCTCTCCGTTACGCGCTATGCACGTATAATCCCCGATATCGTCGTTCTTGATCGTCGCAATCCTAAGCTCGGTGCCGTCGTTGAATATTCCGATGGTAGCCGACGGCTCGACCGGGTTCGCGTCCTTGTACCAGAGGATTTCCGGCGTCGGCGTGCCTTCGGCTTGGCAGTTCAATATTATTGCGTCGCCCACATTCACGTAGATCATGTCCTCCGGTATGATGCTAAACTTTGGCGGTGCTGTGGAAAACAAACGGCCCGCTTTTACCAAATTTGTCCAGGCTAAAGACAAACCTAGGAACTACGGTGGAAGCAATCGAGAGGAAAAACATTCGACCAGCCCGATTCTAGTTCGTCATTATTGATTGTGGGCCAAACGGGAATAGAAGGAAAAGAACGAGACTTTTATGGGGTCGACGACCGATGGCGATGATGCATTATACCGAGGAAACGTCATTTAAGGGGGAACAATCAAATCCTCGAATCGCGTCGCGTGGACGCTTAGGAACCGCTTCCGCGGTACTCTTCGAACGTTTTTATCCTCGATGAGTTTCCACCCGGTAGAAATCGCGGCGGAGGCGGCGGCGGCTCTTCAACGACATCGACAACAACCGCGATACAAAGGACCATCCATTTTCGTCGCGCAAAGCGTGCTCTTTGCGGTGTATTCGAGAACAGAGACGACAGTCGAGATCGGAGACAATAAAGAACATAGAAAACCGGCGACAGGGCCACAGAAGGGAAATCCTTGGTGGGAGACGTTGGGAAAATTCACTGAAATATCGCGGGAGCGTCGACGAGATTTCGAGCACTTGGAATCGCTTTGTGGCTCTTTCTTCTCCGTCTCTTGGTTATATTGGGTGGAATGGCCCGCGGTTTACCGCGTATTTTCGGAAGTTTCCATCGAATTACCGCGAACGTCGCGGTGTAAGCGACGACCGAGAAGAAACGGAAGAGATCGAGGCACGCAAAGCCGAAGGCGAAAACACGGGGACGGAAACAGGGACAACAGTTTACGCGTGTAACGCGAGCAAACGTCCGGGCAGAGACGACTCGAGAAAAAGCACAAAGGGGTCTGAACGCTTTCGCTGGCCGAGTGCTTCTCCCTTTGACGCCGTTGGCATAATCCTTAGTCGACGCAATCGTCGCTCGCCACTGACGTTACCCCGTCATCGTCGTTGTCGTCGTCGTCGTCGTCAACTAGAGGACGTCGAGTGTGGCCGTGGGCTCGACGAAGGGGGTCGTGGGAGGCAGACAACGAGGGAAAACAGAAGACGAGGAGAAAACGTCGGTGACGTGACGAGAGGAAAAAGGAAGACGCGACATTTCCTAAGCCATCTAAATGTTTCTCTTCCCCGGGGCCGTTCGTCGTCGTTTACGGCCGAACAAAACGCGGCAATAAGTTTTTCTTTCTCCTCGCTACCATTTTTCCCGTTCGCAGTTGCTATCGTTCGGTTCACTGACCCCGTCCTCGACGTCCTCCTCCTCGTCGTCGTCCCGTCGGCGTAACGCGTAAAACTTTATCGCATCGCTCGACGGAAGAATTGAATTGAATTCACCGAGAACGTCACCTCCCTTTCCTTTTCCTACCGTTTCTTTTTTATTCCTCCGTTCCGCCTCCCTGTTATCGGTGACGCTTACCGGATTTTCTTTTCCATTTTACTTCGCGACGGTGGAAGACGCGGCGAATCGGTGCACGGACCCTGCTCCCTTCGAGGGTATAAAAATTTACAAGTCCTTGTAAAACGATAGGATGTCGCCCGCGGACTCGGCCAAGTTTCCCGCCGTTACAGGCGCCGTAAAACTACGCTAGTCGTCGTGCCCGTAAAATCTTCTTAAGCTCTAGGTAATATTAATGAGACTCTCCGAGGTGCAATCGACGTAACTTCACCAACTCGACCGCGAAATGGATAGAACTTTCGACTATAACTGCGCTCCCGCGGTGCTCCGACCGTCCCTTATTACCGCAATTAAGTACTTCTTAATCGATACGGCGACGTCGCGAAATCTCGTTGCTTAACGCGGTTAACATCTACGAGCGGAAATTTTTCGAGAACGAAGACGACAGAGGAACGAAGCTACCGAGCACTAATCGCGACCAACGTGTTGTAGTCTGATAAACGAGCGTCGGCAGACCGATTTGGAATCGCACGCGCGATTAAGCGGATCAATCGCGCAGAACGTTTCGCCTAAATGTAAATTGGGAGCCATTAACATCGGTGTCCATTAACCGCAATGTCGAGCAGTCGTCGTCCGTGTCCGCGTAAAGTCGAACGCGATTCTCTCCCTGAAAATGCCATGCGATTCTATAAATATGTTGTACTACTCACCGTGAACGTCCAGGTGGAACCAGGTACCATTCTTGTGACTGTTGGGCGACCTATTGAGGAAGACGACCTTGCACTCGTACCATCCTTGATCGCTCTCACGGATGTCTGTCAGGTTCAGGCTCGCCACGCCATACGGTGAATTCGGGCTGACTCTCGAGACTCGACCTTCGTAACCATCGCCACTGTGGGTCGGATACGACTCGTACCATATGTATATCGGTATCTCCTGCCCCTTGCACCAACACCAACACGCAACATAAACGAGGGATCGCCATGAACGGTTACGCACTGGTGCGAGACACTCTTCGGCGGGATTGTCTGTCGCGCGTCGTGATTCGATTCGATTCGAAAGCTCGTCGTCGAAAGCTAGAGTCGATCGACTCGACTCGACCCAACGATCGTCGCTCCTTTGGAAGACCAAGGAGCACGGAAACGCGTTCGCGACATTGTTGAAAGAAAATCGTGCGCGTTCGACGCGAATACTCGCGATCGTAGTCCAAGACTCGCTCGCACCAGCTTACCGGGATAATGAAATGACAAATGACGAGAGACAGGGGATGCAGCGTGTGTGAAGAGCGGAAACGATCTACGAGCGGTCGCGAGCCGGTTCTCGCCGAGTCCGGGAGGTCCCCCCCCCCCTCGCGGCCGGGAAACGTGACGAGCAAGCGACACGTGTTCCTCTTGTCGATCCAACGAGAAGTCGGGACACACCTGGCATCCTTTTAAATCTGCAATGCTCGTTACGTTTGCTCGGCCGAGGACGTCACACGGCAACTGTCATTTTCCATGCAAGCTTCTACCGAGGCCCACAAAGGAATTCGTTGCGCGCCGATGAAAAAGTAATCCCCAGGCACGGACGTCCGTGCGTGGTTCGATGTGCGTGAACTTAACCCCCCGTTTTTGTGACAAATTCAAAAATGATCGTTGTACCAGTTTTGTACTACGTTCTACCGTCTACAGTTTTATAAAATTTGAAACCGTTTTCGAAAAAAAAAAAAAAAAAAAAAAAATGAAAAAGCTAATTGCTCGTAATATTATTTATTTTTTGAAAACTGTTTCAAATTTTAGAAAACTCTCAACGGTACAACGCGATACGAAACTAGTAGAAACTGGTACAATAAACATTTTTGAATTTTTCACAAATTCGGATGTTACTTCACGCACATCGTGGTTCGAGAAGGCGCTGCTGGGAAAAATCGGGGAGAAACGGACTCCGAAGTTCCATGCGACGCGACGCGAAACGTGCAAAGTCAGCCATGCAAAAATGGATCATCGATCGCAGACAGTGGCCGACGAACCGATCGCGACGGATTAAGAAAGTCAGCCGCGAGCGATCGTTCGATCGACGGAACAATGTCGTTATCTGGGATCGACGATCGTCACGATGCGGCGAAACAATGTCCGGCATAGGAAAGAGGCATTAGAGGCATGCGAGCAACGGATCGATGCTTTCAACGAGAACCAACGAGGAAAGCTATCCCCCGATCGATCTTGCTATTGTTTCCATGCATTTCTCACGAAGCGAACTATAATATAAAACGGTCGTTTTCCAAACGCGTCTTCGCGCCACTATTCGTACGCAACTATCCTACCTCGAATTCAAACGTCGCGGATAAAACACGGATCGAATCGAGCTTTGCGTTAATGTGACCGGTGCAGAATGCGTGGCATTGAAACGAGCCAAGCTACGGTGATCGTGCAAATTAATCCTTCATAGTTACAAATTCCAAGGTGTGAACGGGCATTAACGAGTATCGAATCGAATGGGCGCGCGGCGGGTGTTGGAAAATTGTCAGCGAGGAGGGAAGAACGGATGTTGGTTCGGAACAATCGTTCCCGTTTCATCTCGTAGTCGTCCGAAGGTTCATCGGAGTTCATCGGACCGATTCTTATCGGAATCGAGCGACGGCCTGGTTCGCCGGACAAGAAATCGTACGTAGAATGGGCAATCTGCTCGTGTCTGACACGGAACGGGGCTATTCTACTGGCGCAGGTTTGGCAGCTCGACGCGACACGCTCGATCGAAGGGAAGGAAAAAGTCGAAGGGGGCAAGAAAACTCGCGGACATGCCGTGACGATCGTACGTTGGCCAATGACTGTCCCAGTTGACGGTTTCTATTCCGAGGTGGCCTAGTTGCGGCGACGAACGAGCGTCGTAGTCGTCGGTACTCCCGAGCACGAACCGCACTGATTTCAATATTATTCTCCCCCGAGCGACGGAAAGCTCGTTCGATATCACGATCCCGCGGCGAGTCGTACCGCGCTTGGCCCCGCTGCGACGCGCTGTTTCACCAAGTCCCTCGACAAACAATGAGGGAACGCGTTCCCGCGTCCCAATGTCTCGAACGTGAAAAACAATTGGTCCTTTTTCCACTCTAAAAACTCTTTTCCTCCGGCTCGTTCAGCCGCGACGGGGGAAGAAATTAAGCGCCAGCGAGCTCCTCACGGTGCTGCTTCTAGTTCCCGGTACATTTCACGTTCGATGGGACGAAGATGAACGGGGTGAACGTTCGACGTTCGTTGGAAGCACTTGTGCTAATTCTTGCTCGAACTTCGATGGAAGAATTGTAACAATCGTAGGTGTCGAACGATGGTTTCTCGAAGATCAAACCGAGCTCGAATTTCCCGACTTTCGAATTAATGAAAAGCACTCCTCCGCCGGACGAACCATTGCAGCAGCAGAAGAATGCGCGGAACTGGAATACATTCTGAAGCTGAATGGTACTTTGAAGAAGCACGGGCCAAGCTACCAATTTCGCCTCTTCCCTCTATCGCAACTCTGATCGGTTCCTTCGATCTACGAACTAGCTACGAACTAGAAATGAAAGGCGGGAAGAGGAGGAAAGGCGAACTACTCCCCTCTAGCTGGAATATACGGTTTTATCGCTAGACACGAGCTTGAGCGGAATAAGTCTCACTCCCTCTCGCGCGAATGCTTCGCTTTTACACCTACGCGCGTCGCTTATGTAGGTCAGCCGACTTTGTTTTATTCTCCAGTCGGCGTTCTTTTGTCTCCCTCGTTCTATCGTGTTGGCGCATGTAAAATGTCGTTTCTCCGAAGTTTCAATTTTACAATGCAACATTGTACGTCCAACGACCGTTAATTGACAATTGTTTTCTGCCTCGAACGATTGCCACTGTTGCGATTACTGCACGGTATTGCGAGCAACTTTATTGTCGTCGAACAGGACGCTACTTGGATTTGACACTAGCATGAAGCGAAATAATGCGTTCACGAAGAAATCGTCCACAACAAATGAACATCTTGTTTCCAACTACCGTTTCGATAATTCATGTCGCGGTTCTATGGACTGCAGAATGTACGGTACGCGAACCGTGGAAAATAAAACGACATCGGAAGTTGGGGGGCTCTCCCTCGAGGAACGTAACCCTTTAAGTACGAACCAGTTTCTCCACGGACGGGATAGCGGAAGCCGTATGTAGCGTGTGTTGCGGAAATTTTGATAATTCATCGAGCGCGAGCGGACGTAGGTACGTCTGTTCGTCTCTGTTCCGTCGCTGGGACAAAGGTTGATATTTAAAGGGTTGCGGTGGCCGGAGATCGAGTCGATCCTCGCGGTAACCGAACGAGTGAAATGTTAACGAGACGCGAGTTCCGACGTTCCCGTCCGTAGCCACCGGTTACTTTTCGCTTCTCGACCGCGGTATTCCACCGTCGAGTAATTTCCTCGCCGTCTGGTGGGCCGACGTTAATATTAATCGGGTAATTTAAACGCGAACGAAATTCCGCCGTCAGGGAATCGAGACCGGTTTCGGAGTCGGACGAGTTGCGCCCCACGTTTAAACTTTCCACTCCGGCCGATATTTATTTCGTCGCTTTGTTTCCATGTCCCGACGTTCAGAAGTTTCCCGCGTCGGCGCGGAACAGCGAGCGTACGGTTCGCGTAGATATTCATTAACATGCCCGAGAGAAAGGGGAGACGGAGTTCTTTCGTGAATCGCTGCCCCAAAGTCGACAGAGTTCTTCCACGAGTTTGCTCGGAACTGAGAAGAAATGCCAGGGAAAATTGCTTCTACGCCGGTTCGCGAAGCTCTATATTAGCGGGGCAACCCTCCCTCGAGATCTTTAGCTACGATAATCCGATGGGATTTTTCAAAACGGTGTAATAATCGCGGGGAACGCGGGTCGAGAAACGCTTCGTTTTCGTCTAATTGTTCCTGCGAGTGTTTCGAGTGGAACGGGGCATGGAGGGCGTGTTCATGAATTTCGCTAAACTACTTCGGTTTAGGCAGCAACTTCGACGGCGTACTTCTCCGAAAACTTATTAAGGGGACAGCGTTTCCGCCGTAGGGCAATTACCAACTTAGAGACACACACGGAGTGTGTACGTATTTCTAAATAGGATTTGCGATACAAGGCAGATCGGTGTTAGGAAGCGTCGACAACGGATCGGCAAGTTCCTTAATCGATTCCATTGTACACTCCGTATTCCGACCCCATTCCTCCTTATTACGAATTTAACGTAGTCTTCGCCATATAGCATATTCTTGAAGCGTTTTGCATTACGAATCGACATACAGGTGCGATTAAATTGCATTTACTGGGAACGCGACACAAACGATTCGAAGTTTACGGTGTCTGATCAGACGCTGATCAATTCCACTGACGAGTCGCTAGGTTCGCCTGTTTTCAAACGGTTTGTGAATTCGGGTTTCCGTTTCTATGTCCTTCCGAGTGTGCACCGAATAGTGCGCGTCTTCGAACACTCGAAACGTTCCAGAATTCGAATCCTGCTTTCAAGCATTGAAAAAGGTTGAAAAGGGTTGACGGGCCGGGCTGGGTCGGGTTCCGTTAATTATCTCGTTAGGCGACTCATATCTCGAGGGTGGCATTAATAACAACAACGCCAGAAAAGGGAAGACGAAGCCGCCAATTAGCGGATATAACAAGCCACGAAGCCCTGAACTCGCGATGCGGGAGAAACAGAAATGGGCGGGCGGGTGTGCTGGTGGGAGGGTTGGAGGGAGGGAGGAAACGGTGGAATCTGCACGTGGAATCGAGCGTCGAGGAGGGGGTTAACCCTGACACAGTTGAGTAGTTCAGCCTGGCCTCCGTGCGCTCTGCATTATGCATGTAGACCTCCTAACCCCGTACGATAACACGTCTCTCTCTCTCTCTCTGCATTGCTCGGAACGATTTAGTATCGGGAGAATCAGTCGTTTCTGTTACGCTCTTGACCGTTCGAAGTCTACGTGAACCAATCGAAAGCCGTTTTTCGCCGTTCGTACTCGCGGTTTCGACTTGTCTAGGTATTCAGGTCGCATCGCCTGGCCTTGCGTTACACGGAATTATAAATCTTGTCGGTGGTATTCGGCGAAAACGTAATCGCTTGTCGATCTGTTTAAAATGATAGGCGCCATCGATCGACAACGACGACGACGACGAGAGATACGCCGAAACGTGAAGATCGCGGTGGGGGATCGTAGTTCCGTCTCGGAGTCCTACGCTCGTGGGGAAAAGGGACGAGGAGTAAGTTGGGCCAGGGATGTCGGACGCCAAGCACATTCCTCGTACGTTGCAAGAACTGGTCCGTGGGGTGGTAGGTTCGTGTAATGTAAAGCTGGCCACGCGGGGGTGGTTTACGCTGTCCTATTTTTAAGCCAACTACGGGTTAACCGGCTAACGTTCAATCGATAACGCGCGAGAGGGCAGCGTTTCTCGAAGCGCCGCATCGACAACCGCAAACTCGTCCCGGA